CGAATTTAATATAAATAATAAATTTTTTTTTAAGGGAGGATTTTATTAAACTTGTTTTTAACTCTAATTTCTATCAAACAATATATATTAGTATTAAAGTTATTAATGATAATGATATTACGAATCAGGTTTTGTTTGTTTGTCGTTGTCGTTTGTGTGGTTGTTGTTATTTTTACTAAGTCGATGATGTTTAATTTAAGTATGCGAGTGCGGGGTTCACTAAAAAAAAATTCCGTTGCTGATATTGAAGTGAAGGGCTAGGAAAGCCTCGAGGTAAACAAAGAGAAATTATAGTTAAAAAAAAAAAACCTTTTCCCCCCAAGTTACAAAAAAAAAAAAAAACAGGCCCCGATTCGTCCCCCGAGTAATAAAAAAATTCACGTTGATGTAATAAAGGAAAAGTCCTTATTTGTTCCGTGGAAGCAACTTTCTAATAAAAAATTTGAATGTTGTTTTAGTTAAAAAAAAAAATTTTGGGGGGAGAAAAACTTTTTTTTTTTTTATCCGCAACAACGACAAACAAACATATAAACCGACAAAGTTTGTTTTATTAAGACAACAACAACAACACAAAATAAATAATTTTTAATGAATTTAATTAAATTTTAACAAATTACGTAAAAAGTAAAAAAAAATTAAGTTTTTTTTTTTCGTTGCCCCCCAATAAAAGAAACTTCATTCATTGTCTGCCATATTTAATTATTCCTTTTTAAACTTTCTATCGTATACTAATTGATTTACGCTTTCATCTATTTATTGATTTCATGGATTTTGTTTTTTTCTTTTACTTTTTATCTGTTTTTTTATTACAATGAAAAAATCCAAAAGGAAAAAAAATTGAAGTAATAATTATTATTATTATTTTTTTTTAAATTTTTTTTTTATTTTTTATACGTTTATTTTTTTAATACAACAATTCATTCACCAAAAATAACCATACAATCAGAAAAAAAAAGAGTTTTTATATCAACCCCAGTGGGGAAAGGATGATTTAGGGGCCCAAGGTGCTGAAGAAAAATGGCCGGCGGCGCTCGCGGCGGCAGCAGAAGCGGCATGTGCAGCAGCAGATTTGTGTACGGCAGCAGCAGCAGCTGCAAGAGCTTCCGATCGGTGTATGGCAGCAGCTACTTGAGCGGCTGCTTCAGATCTTTGAATGGCAGCTTGAGCAGCAGCTTCTTTTGCTGCGGCAACTCTTTCTTGAATCTAAATCAAATGATACCATCATCACGTTATGGTTCTAACGTTAAAAACGGAAATGAATTTTTTTTTAAAAACTTACGACAACTTGTTCTTTAGCGGCTTGAACCTTTTGTTGAGCCAAATGAGCTGCTGCGGTTGCTTCTTTTGCTGCGTGAACTGCTGCTGCAATATCGGCAGCTGTTGAACTAGCAAGATGAAATGATTTTCCTGGGTAAGATGGTGTGAAAGTTGGCAATGGGCTTACTGCAATAAAAAAATCAAAAAAAAATTAAACAATTTTTCACATCGGAATTTACGAATCTCAAATGATATGTATACCTGGACCAAAAGAGTGTGGATTCCATCCTCCAAAATGTGGGCCGGAACTTGGTAAAGGTGGACTCCAGGGTGAAAGACTAAGGCTACTCAAACTTCTTTTGGAATTTTTCATATCTTCAACAGCAAAAGCCGAAGCGAGCAAAGCAAAAGCCAACTGAAAATACAAAAAAGTGTTAATTTCTTATTACACATCTGATCTTAAATTCCAGCGACTCCTCACAAAACCTCCATGAAACCTTTTTTTCTGTTGTTTTCACTTAAATAAAACAAAAAAAAATAAAAATGATGATGTACTTACCAATTTTGGAAACATCTTGATTCTTAACTCTTTGTTCTGATTGTGGTATACAATGAAACTGATGCTTTGTTCAACTCTGCCGTGGATTTTTATATTTACCCAAAAATGAATTGTTATGTCTACGTCATCAAATGGTGAACGTCTTCACATCCAATTATTTTAATAATAAAAAAATTAAAAAATGACACAAGTATAAAAAAAAAATGATGGAAAAAACAAAACAATTCCATCATTGACGGTTACCATTACTATTATTATTATTATTATTTAACATTCCCCGATAACGTAATCATTTTTTTTTTTTGTTTTACACTTGTCTCCATGTTTTCCTAAAAAAAAAAAAAAAAAAAAAAAAACAAAAAATTTACTGAATTATTTATAATTAATTTAATTAAGAAAAGAAAATAAAAAATCACGAATGACAAAATTATTACACTCAAACGTGACTCGGAAAATGATTGATATTGTCAAACCGTGTTTTCCGTTCATTTGGCAGACATTTTGTACAGCAGACGACACGTTTTTATTATTATTTGTTTCCAATTAAAATACGTCCCGAAAACAAAAAAAAAAAAATTAACTTTTCAAAAAACATTTTCAAATTTAAAAAAAAAAAACAAAAAAAAATTGTTTCAAATGAGTTTTAAATATTAATATAATAATAATAATAATAATAATAATAATATAAACGTTTTTAATCACGTGATTACATATTGAATGACCGTTAAAATGATAATACGCCGTTTTATTTATGATTAGTCCAACCAATAAACTTAAACATATTCGATTTTACATATATTTTATTTTTTCTTCGATCCTTTTATTATTATTATTATTATTATTATTATTATTATTATTATTATTATTATTATTATTATTACTATTAATATTATTATTATTATTATTATTATTTAAAGGTTTTAAAATTAAAAAAAAATAAATAAATAATTTTTTTTAATAGAAATTGTTTAAATAAAATTTATTTAAAAAATATTTATCAAAATACAAAAAATTTTTAATTTATTAAATAAATTTAAAATAAATAAATAAATAAGTCCGAAATGATAATGATGATAATTTAAATAAATTATTGTTTATATTTTTTTGTCCGATGGGGGGTCTCGATTGTATTTGTTATAAATAAATTTTTTTTTTCCCCCTTTCGCACGGTTAAATATTATTATTATTATTTAGCATGAAAAGTTTTGTTTATTTTATAAGATGCAGAAACGGAAAATTCATTTTGAGATTTATTAAAATTTTCCTTTTCGTTAGAAAATTTATATTGGTTATTATTATTATCAATTCCTTCATCGGATGTAATTAATTTATCGTTCATTGAATTTTTTACATCTCTACGATTTTTAGATTTTTTAATTAAAATCGGAATTATTTTTTTTCCAAAATTTTCAACGTTTCCCATACTTTCCGTTTTTAATAATATTTTATTCGGTTTTCTATTTCTAACCGGAAACGAATCAATATTAACCGTTTCCGTTTGAGGCATTAATATTCCACTCGGACGTGAATGTATAATATATTTTTGACCCTTCATCGATTCTTGATAATAATTATCAGAATTTAAATAATTGTTACGATTATTATGATTTTTTTTAGTTGGCATCACTGAATATTTAACGTGAGTTTTTAATTCCGTTTGAGCAGGAAATCCTCCCTTGTAATAATCCGCCATATCTTTAAACGGTTTAAATCTCGTAAATGACGAATCAAATTTATTATTTTGTTGTAATTTAATCACCTGATTATTTTCTTTTTGATTTTCAATGAAAATCTCATGCGTTTCCGGTTTGTTATACGCGTCGGCTGTTGCTGACGTCATAGAATGATCCAAGTTCGAATAAAAACCGCTAGGTTCGCGTTGATCGTTAGTTTTAAATATGGCGGATTGTGATTGTTGTGTTTTGTGTTTAGCAGGTAAGGCATATAAATATTGTGATACGTTTGTTTCCTGTGGATTATTTTCTTCGTTTGTTTTTAATTTTAAATTATTCTCGAACGGTGTGGAAAATTGTGTCGATTTTGTTCTTTCCCTTTTAACATTTCCAATAGCGTGATTTATATCAAAACTCGTGCTTCCTTCTAATGCTTTTTTATGATCGAAACTAATTTGATTGAGTTGATCGACGTCGATGTATGGATTTATTTCAAAATGAAATGAATTTACAGGTTCGCTAATTAATTTTGGAAGATTTTTAATTTTTTTTTGATAGACTATAGGCATCATAGTCGTCGTCGGACCGACCTGATTCCAACTTTTCCAAGATGTTTGTATTTCGGCAACATCTTTTTGATATTTTTTTATATAATCTTCTGGGGTGATCGGTACCTGATCACGAAACGCTATTGTTTTTATAATTTGACCAGGTACAGGTTTTTCGGTAACACTTATTTTAAATTGCGATTGGCTTGTCGGTTCGATCATTGTCGGTTGGTCATTTGGCCGAGTGACGTAATACAATTGTTGTTGTTCTTGTTTTTTTTCAGAGGTCAAAGGTACGTTATTGTTTGTTGTGGTTCCAATCATTGATTGCGCAGAATTCTTTTCTGGTAATATTTTATAATTTTCACTTTTACCAGAATAATAATGATTATAATTTAGTGGTATTCTTGAATCGGCTACCAACGTACTGGAATAACTCGAATCCTTTTCGTTGACGGTTGGAACCGTATTTCCGGTGACGTAAACTGGTGTGGCAAAATGGCCGAATACTTTTTGCGCAGAAGAGCCGCTGTTGTCTAAATTACTCGTTTGGTATGATGTTTTTGGTAATCTTTTTGGTTCGAAGCCATTAAATTGATTTTTCGGAGGAGTTAGTCTGTACTTTTGTCCATCGCTTACGATTATGCTTTCACCTTCTCCCACTTGATTAATTGTTTCCAGTTGTAATTTTTCGTAGTTTTTGGGTGTTTGCCGATGAACATACGTAAAATGATTTTCATTTCCTTTACCGGAAACGATCATTTTCGAAGGAACGTAAGAATTATCTTCGATGGTGTGCTGCACGTTATTAATTTGACTCATTTGATAATTGGTATGAGGTGTAGGCACAATGTTATTCGGTAATGGTTGTGCTGCTGAGGATTGATCTGGAACGTTGTTCTCTTCGTTAAAAATACCAGGTTGATAATTTGTTTTAAAACCGTTGCCGTTAGGGTTATTATCGTGATATATTTTGAAATAAACCGTCGTTTCCGGTACTGTTGTTTTAACGTTACTAACTGAATTTTGTTTCTGAACGACAGAAGAATACTCTGTAATATATAAATATTTAAAAATTTTAATGTTAAACTATTAAATTAATTTTTATCAGAATATTTTTAAGAAAAAAAAATTTTTATACTACTTTTACCCATATTTTCCGGATTTTTGTGTCTTATTCTGTTGCTGTGAGTTACTATGGTTGATTCGGGTAAATGAGAATTCAATGGTAAAACCGTTATTATCTCATTCGAAGAAGATTGTTTGTAATCTTCTGATTCTCTATTCATTCCTGGTCTTCTTAAAAAAAAGAAAAAAACAAATTTATTATTTTTGTACGAATCTTTTAAAAAAAAAAAAAAAAAATTTGATGAAAAATTTAATACAAACAAAATTTTCTCATCGTTGTTATATTTTTCATAATTAAAATTTTCAAAATCCATTGATTCCGTTTGTTGTTGTTGTGGTTGTTGTTCTATATCTTCAACATCTGGATGAACTTTGTATGACTTCCGATGATTGTTATTCTTAACAACACTTCCTCCTCTGATTGTATCGTTTTCACTTTTTACCATATTCATACTACTGCACATTATTATCAGTATGAAAAACTAAAATCATTTATTATTATTATTATTATTATTATTAATTATATTATTGTGTTTGAGTATTTGGAGCAAATAACGTTTTTTTTTTGTTTAATTCTTACGGTAATTTATTGTCGAAAGTTTTCATTTTTTTTCTGTTACATTTTGCTCTGTTAAGCATGTTATTACCCGTAATTATTTATTACCGACAAACATTTTAGTGGCATAAACGGTAAAATATTTTATTAAAAATAATAATAATAATAATAATAATAATAATAATAATAATAATAAATTTTAATCATAAATTAATTAATTAATTTATTAAAAAAAAAAAAAATCAATTACTCCGAGTCAAGATTCTTGTCAAGATTTTATAAGATAATAAATTAAATTTTACATCTTGGGGGGAAAAAAAGAAAAACTCGTTTAACAAACAAAAAAAAAAATTTTATTAATTTTAATTATTATTATTATTAAAATTATTAAAGTTATTATTATTATTATTATAATTAACGTTAAAAATCGCACTCTTTTTTTGTTGGCCCAAAGGTAAAAATAACGTTAATAAAAATAAACTTAAATAAAAAAAAAAAAAATCTTACCAAAGCTTCCATTTTTATTAACGAGTAACAAACAAACAAACAAACACAAACACAAAACTTTTTCGATGATGTACCCTAAAAAAAATTTTTAAGATAATATGATAACATATTTTCCAAAAAAAAAAAAAAAGTTTTCTGTTCGGTAAAAGTAATCAAACCGTTTTTTTTTTTTTTTGTTATTTATTTATATATATATATATAGATATACATACTCCCACCACGTGTGTGTGTATTATATTGATCTTCCACGTGGAACGACAAACAAACAAACATACAAACAAAAGAAAAAAAAAGAAAACAAACGGTTCCTTTTCGTTGAATATATAATAATGCGGGGATTCACTTTCTTCATATTAATTTTTTTTCAAATTCAGTGAAACGTATTAGGAAAATATAACGAAATTTTCATCTGAGGTCATGACCTTAAACAATTAAATAATTTATTAATAATAATAATAATAAAATTTTTGAATAAATAATGCAGAATAGTTTTTCTGAAATCAAATAATAATAATAAAAAATTGTTTCGAATGTTTTTCTGTTGTTCTATAGGGGGGTACGTGAAGATAATAAGAGAAGGAGGTGAAAACAGAGGGAGGGGGAGGGGGAGTGAATGTAAAAAAAAATTTTATTACAAAAAATAATTATTTTATTAAAAAATTATTAAAATTATTATTTAAATAAATTATAAAAAAATTTTTTTTATTTAAAAAAAAAAAAAAAAATTTCGAAAAAATTAATTAATTAATGTAAAAAAAAGTGGGGGAGAAAAAACTCCATTTTGAAAGTTTTTCCTATTCAGTCCAATTCACATCATTTCCTATAACGAATTTTTTTTTTAAAATGATTTTTTAAATGGTGTAGCTTTTAACGGGTAAACTTTTGTACGATTGAAATGTTGGAGCGTTGTATGTAGAACCTGTTTGATAATTATTTTGTAAATAAGTACTAGCACCGCTACTGCTGCTGCTGCTGCTGCCACCGCTCAAGAAGCTTCCAGATCCCTTTAAAACCGGACTGACCGTTGGTTTTACACCAGATGAAAATGGAGCCTTCGTACTGATTTGACTATTTTGAATTGTATTATAATGTTGTGCAAGATATTGTGGCGAATTTAAATATTTTGTTTGAAGTGGACTTAATGTCGTCGATTGAACTGGAGTGTATTGAGTTCTTGGTACAGATTGTGACTGGAAAAATTGTGGACCTTTTACAGATGCATAACTTTGTGGTGGAGGACTTGGTGCAACCTGGAAAAAAAAAACAAAATTTTAATTAAATGGAAACGAATCGAATCATGTGAAAAATATTTTATTTTATGACGTACCGTGACTGGAGAATTTACTTGTGGATTGTAAACTGGATTGTATCTGAGTTGTTGAGTGTTGTAGGTTTGATGTTGAAAACTTTGAGGACTTGTTACTTGATATGGATTGTAAGCTGCGGTATTGACTGGAGCCAAAACGGGAGCCGAAACTGGAACCGAAACGGGAGAGGGAACGGGAACCGAAACGTGAGAGGGAACGTGGGTCGAAACTGGAGCTGAAACTGGTGCGGAAACTGGAGCTGAAACTGGTGCGGAAACTGGAACTGAAACTGGTGCGGAAACAGGTGCAGAAACTGGAGCCGAAACTGGAGCCGAAACGGGTTGATATTGAGGAACGTATTGTTGAGAAGGAGCCGCGTTTGTATATTGTCCAGTCGAACCCTGATTAACAACTTGTGGAGCGTAGTAATACTGTTGTTGCGGTTGTTGTGATTGAGTTGCATAATATCGAACGGCACCTGAATTTAAAAAAAAAGTTACAAAACTATAGAAAAAAATTTATTCGATGATTGTTTTGTTTGTTTGTTTGTTAAATACCAGTATATTGTGGTTGTTGATATGCAGGTAATGGAGAAGCAAAAGTCATTAAAACAGGTTGACTAGTTGATGATGGAACTGCATTAACTGATTGTCCATTTTGAAATCCAGATACTGATGAAATAAAAAAAAAAAAAATTTCAAATTGCGTAAATTACAACAACAACAACAACAAACAACAAAATTGTTGTCAAATTCCGGTTTTTTGTGTACATCAATTAAATAAAAATAATAACATCACGACAATATAAACAATCAACTCTCTAATCTATAACTTTTATTTGATAAAAAAAAAAAACCGCTTCGAAATAATTTAAAAAGTAAATCTGAAAGTAGAAAGAAAGAAAGAAAAAATTATCTTGTTTTTTTTATCCGGTGGCTCGTATACGCGCACACACACACACACATACAACAAACAACAAACACAACCGCAAATCACGGCGCAAAAAAAAAAAAAAATTATTTTAAATTCTACTTTCACATTTTTCCGAACCGGTTGAAAGTTGTTCGATGTTTTCAAACTATCTCCTTTTAATAAAAACAAAAAATTTTCCACTAGAAAATAATAATAATAATGAAAAATTTCACTTTTTCAATAATGATAACAATCACTTACCGGAAGTTAGGAAAGGATTTAAATAAGTTTGATAACCACTTTGTCCACCGGAAGGGGATGCAAATTCAACACCTCCCAAACTATTTCCTGCAAATGCCGAATAATCTGTAAAAAAAATTTTTTTTTTTTTAACGACAGGAAAATTTTTTTTTTAACTAACAGGACGTGACGGTTAACATACCTGGGAATTGGAAATACTGTTGAGGTAAGACATATTGTACGTAAGGTACCTGATAAGGTAAACCTGGTTGTTGATTAGGATTAAATTGATGATATTGTTGTCTAAACGGTTGTTGTTGTTGTTGTTGTTGCTGTTGTTGCTGTTGTTGCTGTTGTTTTTCTGCTTTTACTTGTTGTGCGGCTCTCAAAGTGTCTTTTTCTATATCTTCAAGTTTTATTTGTTTATCTGATGTTGCAGCAAATGCGAATCCAACGCATAAAACCGCAAACCACCAAACGACATGCTAAAAAAAACAAATAAAAAAAAAAAAATCAGCCATTTTATTTTTTAACGTCTGGAATGTAAAGAGTGAAAGGGCAAATTTTTATATTTAATTGATGAAAGGAAGAATCAATTTCTCCATTTTCAATTATTTTTAAAAATCGTTTTGCAATATCATTTTTATTTTATCATCATTAATCGTTGATTAACACCCCCCCTCCCCCCGGAAAATGAATCGAATTCCAAAACGAATGAAAAAAACCGTCCGGAAATGATAAAAACACCAAAGGTTGATCGATATCCGGTTATTTAAAATTTATTTTTTTCTGGAATACGACGCAACAGTAATAATAATAATAATAATTTTAATAACACGTGCGCAATTGTTTTTTACACGTTTACAATAATAATAATAATAATATCACGCGACATAATATTTAATTGTAGTCTGGGATTTAATTAACCGTCCGTTACATATTTTTCATTTAATTGTTCACTTTATTTTTAAAAATTAAAAACGATGACGTTTAACAAATAATAATAATAATAATAATAAGGAAGAAAAACCTTTAGAAAAAAAGTTTAATAACCTTTTAAATTTTTTTTTTTTTTGGTTTACCGTCGTATACAAATTAACGAAAAAAAAAGTAAAAAAAATAAATTTTACGTACGCGATAAAATTAATAAATAATAATAATAATAATAATAATAATAACGTACCCTAACGTCGTTGTTCATTTTTACTTATTTATTTATTTATTTATCCTTAAAATAAAATTTTTTAAAAACAACAACAATATCACTAAATGAACACCAAAATGATTTCTGCCATTATAATCAATGCTCGAGATATATATATAGATTTAATAACATTTACATTTAATTAATTATATGATGAATAATTTTTTTAACGATATTCTAACGTAAACTTGTTTCTTCTTAAATAAAAAATATACGCGAGTTGTTTTATCGTAAGAAGAACATAGTTGTTTATAAAATGTAAGTGTTTTCAATATTCAAATAATTTTTTTTATTCTACCAATAAAATGTCACCACCGTAAGTGTTGTTGGAAAATTTTTTTTTTTTTCTTAGGTAGGAAGTGAAATTTGTTTAAGATTTAAACTTATTATTATTATTATTATTATTATTATTTATTCGCATTATGTTTATTATGTTAACAAATATCATTTCGTAACCGTTTATCGATTAAAAAGTATTATCATTATTAAAAATAAAATAATTAAATGCTTCTCCGTGGTAATTTTTTTATTAAATAACAAATTAATAATAATAATGATAATAATAATAATAAATTAAATAATCAATCAATCGAATTTAATTGTTATAAATTTTTTTTTTTTTTTAAGAAAAAACGACAGATTTTTTTTTTTTTTTTTGTAAAAAATGCGTAAAAAGAAGAAAAGTTTTGAAACTTTTCGCTTTTTTTTTTGTTTTTCATTTCAAAACCCCCTTAGAGTAAATAATTTCCATACTTTCTTTTTAAACGACTTGAAGGCATTCGAGAAATTTTTCTTTTTTTTTTTTTTACCTTAAAAGAAAATTTATCGGGAAATATTTCAACGGTTATAATTTTTTTTAAAAAAAAAAAAAGAAAAATTATAAACGTGGGTGTTACATAACCAACGATAATAATAATAATTAACGGTTTTTTCTTTTTTAAAGGAATGTCGTTCATTGTTTGTTAATTGAAAAACAAAAAAATTTCTTTTATTTTCTTTTTCGATTATTTATTTTGTCGCACAAAAGTGAAAAAAAAAAATGGAATCTAGTTTAAAAAAACGTTAATCAAGTTGTTCAAATCTCAAATATTTTCATACGTGATTGAATAAAAAAAAAAAAAAAAAAAAAATCCTCCAGACATTTCGCATTATTTATATTCTCATTATAATAATAGTATAACAATAACAATATGAAAGTAAAATATTTATTTTCTCTATGACTTCGAAAAAAAAAAAATTTTTCAATGTAAAAAAATAATTAAAATTTTTTTTAACCGGATGTTTTACACATACCGATATATACATTTTTATTTAATTTAAAATAATAATAATAATTAATAGAGGGGGAGAGGGAGAAGGGGATGGACAGGAAAGGAAAGGAAGGGGAAAGAGGGGGAAAAAGGAAAAAAAATAAATAAAAAATCGTTTATTTGCCTAACGCGATAAGTAGTGATAAATTTTTTATTATTACTGGAAAAAAAAGAAACGTTATCATCATCATTAATATTATTATACCGGAACGAATTTTTAATATGTGTCCGAAAGGGAAAATTATAGTAATTGTAGCAAAATATAGCAATAAGTTTCTGGAATGAAAAGGTAAAAAAATTTTTATCATGGAGTCTCTTTAATAACTTATCACGTTTTACGTTATCAAATATCAGTTTGTTATATTTTCCGTTCAAAAAAATAAATAAATAAATAAATAAATAGATAACGAAGTTTTGATATGTTTTTTTTTATTATAGTAAATTATAGCGCTTTAACAATTCAAAAAAAAAAACTATAAAACGAAAGTGAAAGATCCTTTCTTTTCCTTTCTTTTTAAATTTAAATTTAAATTTAAATTTTTTTTTTTTTCGCCATCGTTAATTGCAATCACATCATTTTCTTGTTGACTTTTATCACAAAAAAAAAAATAACATTTCGTTTTACGATGATGATAATAATTTCAATAATAATAATAATAATGATAATTATGTAAGTAATGAGTGGGAAAAAAATTTTATTTATTTATTTATTTATATTAAATAATAATATTTGTAATATATACACTACGGATTATTATTATTATTATTATATAATTTTTTTTTATTAAAATTTCGTTATTTTATCGGGTGGGGTAGGGGAGGGGAAGGTGGGGAGGGAAAACAACAAAATAAATAATAATAATCAAATCTTATTATTACGACAACTTTCGACAAAAGAAATTTTTTTTTTTTTTACACTTTCTTCGTTTGTCATAACGACAGAAAACGACAGCAGACGACAGAAACAGAAAATTTTAATCGAGAAATGAATAAATAAATAATTTTTTAAAATTTTATTTATATATATTGACTAATAAATAAATTATTTACAACAGGAAGTTAAAAAAAAAATAATTTTTTTTTTTTTTGACATTTTCCAACGTTTTGGTAACGAATAATACTAATTTAAAAAAAAACATAAACATAAACAAAAACAAAAACAAAAAAAATGGATATAATTATCCTTTGTGATTATAAGATGATGATTGCTGTTGGCTATTTATAGAATTTAATGATTTTGTTGTTGTTTTAATTTCGTTTCCTGTTGTTGTTCCTGTTGTGACACCACTTTGAGCAACGGTCATTGGTAATAAATAAGTAAACTGTAAAAGAAAAGTCGAAAAATTTTCCTTTCGGTACCAAAAAAACTTTCATTTAATATAAATAAATAAATAAATAGTAAATCAATAAATAAATCTTTTAACTATTTATTATTATTATTATTAATCCGGAAATGAAAAACTTTCTAATTTTTTTTTTTGTAACTTTTTAAACCGGTGCGATCGATGTCCGTCTTGTGTTGCAAAATCCGTTCAACTTTCACTCTCGTATTTGAAACTATTAATTAACATTCGAACTTGATTTTTAACTGAACACGCACTCACACACACATTCACAAATACTTTTGAATTTTTTTTGGCTACACACACACGCACACAAGGACGCACCCAAAAATTTCGTTTTTACTTTAATAATAATTTTCTAAAGAGTTATTGGAAACTTTACGTTTAAAAACTCACCTGATTAGCTTGTCCTGTCGGATATACTCCAAATTGACTCGATGTTGGAAAAGTGTAAAATTGTGGCTGTTGTTTAAAAAAGTAGTTGAAACCGGGTTGCTGTTGTTGATACAAGAAATTCGTGGCAGCGGCGGATGTTTGGGGTTGGACGAAAAACATAAAAAATGGTTGTTGTGTGTAGTAAAATGGTTGTGCCATTTGATACAAGGGTAATTGTTTTGCGTCTGCTGATGCGGATACAGATGCGGAAGAACCTTTAGAAACCGCCGTCGAGCTTTGATGAGATTGAACGGAATGTTGAGGCACGGATGCTGATGATGAATAATCGGATGTTACACCACCCGAAGAAGAAAATTCTTTTCCGTTAAACGTTTGAAATTTCATTAGGGGTGCTTGAGTGACTGTGACGGCGGGGGATGGAGAAACGTATTGCAATTGATTCGGTGTTTGAAAATAATGAGTTAAAGGTGAGGTTTGAAAGGAATATTGGGATGCAAATTGTGCAGCCGAATGTTGAGAAGGTTGTACGTATGTTCCAGCAGCAAAAGGTTGTTGATAATTATTATTTTGAATGTACCGGAAAGGAGGAACGTTTGGTGATAATAATGATTTATAAACACCGTTATTCCCGCTGGCACCAGCTCCGACAACATTTGAAGAACTTGAACTTGATGACGACAAGTAATTAAACGATGGATGATCTGCATTGCTTATTTTAACAACTCCTCTTTTAGTTTTTTCACCATTACCACTCACCGTAGCAGACTCATCTTTAAATTCAATTTTTTTCGATTCTGATTCTTCGTTATTACCCGTTAATTCTTCACCGTAAAGAGTTGTTGCCAACCCCAATACCTAAACGGATTTTATTATTATTATTATTTTAAATAATTTAAAAAAAAAAAAACAAAAAATAATTTATTAATACTCACCAACAAAAAAATGTATCCTCTCATATTATTTTTTAGAAAAAAAAAAAAACTGAATAAAAAAAAAAGAAAGTTAGCGGCGTACCTGTAACAACACTTTGATTATGGCCTTGAAAGTTATCCTCACAAATTTATATAGTCTGAATTTTTATTTCATTCTACCACCACCACCACCGCCGCCGCCGCCATTTTCGTGTAGGTACCTCCTAAGTAAAACATGTATTTTGTTCTTTCACTTTTGTCTCATCATTATCATCATCATCATCATAACAATTTGATGTTAGTTATTTAATGCTTAGATTCTCACATGATTATTTATTTTCCTTCCTTTCTTCCTTCCGTTTTCGATTACATTTTCTCTCTCTCTCTCTTTTTTTTTTTATAAATAAGATTTCAATTTGATCTTCCTGACTTTTTAAATTAATTCTTGTTATTACTGGGGGAAGGTCACACACGGGGTTAAAAATTTTATTTCCCTTTTTTCCCTTTCCCAAAAAATTAATTTATTTTTTTTCACGTATACAAAAAAAAAAAAAATATGTCGGATAAACCCAAAGAATTAATAATAATAATAATAATAATAATAATAAAAGACTTTCCGCAAGTTAGCGGTTAATACGGTTGAACGATTAAGGTGTCAAAACCTAAAACGCGCGTCGTCACACCTGGATAATTAATAATAATAATAATAATAATAATAAAACGTGCGTGTCCATTCATTCATTCTTATGAATCCCGAACATTTGAATATAATTTTTTTGCGGGGAGGGGGGCGAGAGGGACCCCGATAAATCCAAGGTAAAAAAAAATCGTTCCAGGGATTATTTTTTTTTTTAAAAAAACTTTTCCAGAAAATTTAAAAAAAAAAAAGAAAATGAACGTGAAACTTATCGAATAAAAAAAAAAAATAAATTGAAATTTTACAAAACCGGAAATTTCGAAATAAAAAAAAAAAAAAAAAGAAAGAAAAAACAGAGAAAGCAGTAGAAAAATTTCTAAAAATTATTATTATAAAAATCTTAAATTTCTTATCGAAATGAGAAAAATGGCGTCGGGTCTAACATTATCACATTATGTATTTTAATCGTATGGCGAAAAAAAATAAAATTTTATTATCTCATTAATAATAATAATAATAAAAGTGCGATCCAGATTTGAATAACGTTTGCAAAACAATCGGTTGATTTATTACGTTGTTTGTTTTATTAATATTACTACTTATTAATTAATAATATTATTTTCTTTTAAATCTTCTTCCTGAACGATAATTTTATTTAAAAAAAAAAAAAATTAGGTAACGAAATAAATAAATAATTAACGCTTAAGCAAAATTTTCCTTTTGGAAAATAATTTTTATAGCAGAAGACGAAAGAAGAAAAATTAAAATGTCGCGATTTTTATGTTTAATAAATAATTTTATCTCGTTGCAAAACTAGTTTAGTTACATATTTATTATTATTATTAATAAACATTAAATATTTATAATAAAATAAAACTCGCAGGCATTTTCACTTTTTATTATCATTATCATTATTATTATTATTATTATTATTATTATTTTAATGTTATCCGGATTGAGTAAGACGTGGGCCCGTGGGCGTCATTAAACTTTCTTCCTCTGGTAAAAATTTTTTTTTTTTTTTTTTAAATAACGAGAAAAATTATTTTAAAAAAAAAATGGAGTCGTCCGAAATCCTGAACCTGACATTACAAAAACTAGAAATTTTTTTTTAACGTAGTAATAATAATAATAATTTCCTTGACCGTTGTTTAACCTTGTTGTTATTACTCTAATTGTCGTTTTAATTTTGCAATTTTTTTTTTTTAAGGGGGGATAAATCCGAAAAATTTTTTATATATTTAAATAATTATTATTATCATTATCATTATACAATTACGTTAACTTCAACCACTAAATTTTTTTATTAAATAAAACTTTATCGAAAAAAAAAAAAATTTCTGGAATTTTTGGAAAAATTTTAAAAAAGGGAAAAAATAAATTACATGAATTTAAATAACAATTATATATATTATTATTATTAGCTTAACTAAAAATAAAAAACAAAAACAACGTCAAATGTGTTGTTGTTACTCGAAGCTCAACCAGGTAAGTTAAACATAAGTGAACAGAAAAAATGAAAACAAAAAAAAAAGTACGTTATATGATTTGGTAACTTAAATAAATATGAGTATGAAAGGCCTTTAAGACTTTAAATACGACATTTAAATTTTTTGTTAGTCTATAAAAAAAAAAAAAACAAGTAACAATGAATGTCGTGAAATTGTCAGTCTTTACGAAAGAAATTAAATAACAACTGTGGTCGTAATAAAGTTGGTACGTTAGTCTACGTTATAGAGAATCCTTAAACTTTTCTGTAGTGTCTAGAGGCGTGACCACCACCGCTACCACCACTAGAATAACTATTTGAAAAAGAGCTGCTGGATGGCACGCCGTAAGACAAAGATGGGGAACCGTATGAAGAAGCCGGTGCACTGTAAGAAGATGAGCCTCCACCGAAAGAAGAGGAAGAGGAACCGTGAGACGAAGACGATAAACTACCGGACGAAGATGAGAGTGAACCATGAGATGATGAAGATCCACCGGAAGATGGAGCACCGTACGAGGAAGATGGAGAAGAGTAAGAGGAAGAGTATGATGCGGAAGGAGAGTTGTAAGATGAAGAGTAAGAACTTCCTCCGCTTCCTCCGCTAGAGTAACTCGGGCCTGAGTGACTGGAGTAAGAACTTGAAGGGGTGAAGCCTGTGGAGTAACCTCCGGAAGAGGAACCAGAATGCAAGCTAGATGATAAACCAGAGGACAAGCCAGATGTTAAACCGGACGACAAACCAGAGTGTAATCCCGAAGATAAACCACCCGATACACCACCAGAAGACGAAAGCAAGGATTTGTATGAGGCACCCAAACCTGATGATGATGATACACTTGGAAGCGAGTAAGATTGACCTACCAAGGGTGTGAGTTTTACCGTGGTTGAAGGTACGGTGAAAGTAAGGCTGTTTACACCACCTGCAATGAAATTATGATATTCGTAAGTACTAAAACAATTGTATTCAAAAATTAGATTTTATAAAAGTGAATATTTACTTAAACCCCCTAATCCACCTCCGTATCCGCCACCGTATCCGCCACCGTATCCGCCACCGTATCCACCTCCGTATCCACCTCCCAATCCACCTCCTAATCCACCTCCTAATCCATGACCTCCGCCCAACAAAAGCGATTGAGACAAACCATGACCTCCAAAACCTCCTCCTAATAATCCGAGATCGCTTCCTTTAGAGAATAAAAGTGTAGAATGTCCCAATCCTTAAAAATAATAAAATAATAAATAAAAATTTAAAATTCGACTTTGTTAATAAAATGAACTCGCGTGTTAAGTTAACATACCGCTGCCGAATCCTCCGTAGCCGCCGCCTAGAGATGATGGAAAGCCAAAGGAAAGTTGTCCACCGTGTCCGTAAGAACTTCCACCCTTTAACAAATTACCGCCGGAAAAAGAAAGACCACTACTTCCGAGCAAGCTTCCACCGGAAAATGAATGACCTCCGCTTCCGAAACTTCCGACTCCGCTTGCATAGGATAATCCTCCACTTCCGCCAGAGTACGAATGACCACCGCTTCCCAAGCTTCCACCACCACCTAAGTAAGCTGATCCTAGATTTCCACCGGAAAATGAATGACCTCCGCTTCCGAAGCTACCGACTCCGCTTGCATAAGATAATCCTCCGCTTCCGCCAGAGAGCGAATGACCTCCGCTTCCAAAACTACTTCCTCCGCTTGAATAAGATGAGCCTAGACTTCCGCCAGAGAGTGAATGACCTCCGCTTCCAAAGCTTCCACCACCGCTCGAGTAAGATGAACCTAGGCTTCCGCCAGAGAGTGAATGACCTCCGCTTCCAAAGCTTGCACCACCACTCGAGTAAGATGATCCTAAGCTTCCACTAGAGTACGAATGACCGCCGCTACCAAGGCTTCCGCCTCCGCTCAAATAAGAAGATCCTCCACTTCCTCCAGAGTACGAGTGACCGCCGCTTCCGAAGCTTCCTCCACTTCCTCCAGAGTACGAGTGACCGCCGCTTCCGAAGCTTCCTCCTCCGCTCGAATAAGATGATCCTCCGCTTCCTAGTCCACCGGTATAGAAATGTCCACTACCTCCGCTTGAAGACGAGTAACCACCGCCGCTGCCACCGCCGCCACCTCCTCCTCCACCGGAATACGAAGAACCTCCTCCGTATCCACTACTGGTACTAACAACTCCTCTCTTATCTTTCTCCGAAACGTTTTTCGGAATTTCTGCCACGGTCAACGTGAGCAAAACGGCTAAAACCTAACACAAAAAAAAAAAATAATAATAATAATAAATGACGGGGTATTATTAAATTGTTTTAAACATTCAATAATGATAATAATGATGATAAATGGTAATAATGATTAAAACAATTATAACTTACCAAAAATTTCATTGCTTCTACTTTTTTTTTTTTTTTTTTTAGTTGTTAAACCAAAGAATCAACGTTCACAAGTAACAAAAAATTCTCACTGTTAGCAATATATACGCTACCCTACTCTTGAATGACAGGGTATCCATTCGCGATTTCATGTCCATAAACCATAAAACTCGAAAGTTAAATATTGGATTCAATGTTTTAAATTTCCATTCGACAAAATGTGAATGTTTAAATTTCAAATGGGATTTTTTGTTATTCCGACCGAGTTTGGAACGCTCCATGACGATATGAATAAAAAAAAAATTTACCGGAACATTTTCCCTCCATTTTTTTTTTTTTTTTTTTTTTTAATTGCGTAAAAAAAAAAAAAAAATTTCAAATGACGACCAATATCATTTAACTAATTCCACGAGGCATTCACTCTCTTTCCACTGTAAAAAAAAAAAAAATTTTCTCCATACATTTCTCTCTCTCTCTCTCTCTTATTATCATTTATATTTGTTTTTTTTTAATTTTAAATAATAATAATAATAATATTCAAACGGTTGAATAATTTCTATTTAAATATTAATTATTATTATTATTATTTTTTTTTCATTAACATTTCTCATTATTATTATTATTATTATTATTATTATTATTATAGTTTTTTAGTTTAACGGTGAAAAAATATATACAATAAATGATTTATTATCGTTATTAAACGTAAAATCGATATTATCGATTCGATATATATCGATATTTGCACG